TCGAAAGAAGACTAGGGATCTAGGAAACGAAGTAAAACCTTTCTCTTTTATTTCGGGAAAAATAGTAGAATGCAATATGACCAGTTCGGAAGAATGGAAGTGATGACAAATTTCGAGGTAAGGTTTTCGGGAATAGAAATTTTCTCACTTTTTCTGAATGAGCAAAGAAATAACGGGGAAACCCAGGATTAAATTGATTTTGTGAGAGACTGCCATCAAGAAACTTAAAATTATCGACCATGATTATGTTTAGAATATCAGTTAACAGATGAAATGGTTGCGTAAACAAAGTGTGGTAGTCAGAGCCATCTTCGGGTATGGAGAGAACATTCAGACAGTCAGCGATATTCGGTATTAAGAACCAGACAAAGACAAACTGAACTCGTCGCTTTTCCACAAATAGCATGTTAACAAAAGGCACGAGACATAAGATTTTTCAGCGAACCACCTCAAAATCTTTCATTATTCATCGGTTAAGAAATGGGATTACTTAAAGTGAAAGGTTAGGTCGCATGTTTAAGGTTATATATTCTCGCGAAAAATACATCCAAGCTTTCATTGACACTGGATGGATATGGAATTTAAAGCTTTCTTCATATTCTCGAAGGCGTGAAATTAAACTTTGGTGGACACGTAACGTGAAAGGTGCACATCCCTTCCCAACAAGCGTGTGATTGCTTCTCCATCTTTACTCTCCCGTCATTATTTTAGCCTCCGTTATTCAGAATTACCCCCTACTATTTACCTTCACATGCCCTTTCCTTGTTCATCTCAAGCACAGACCGCCAATTATTCGTAAAAGATTTCTGCCCAAAAGTCGCACTTCCATTTCGCAATCTTCGCTTTAGGCTTAGAGTGCAAAACGGTGCAATGCTCTTGACCCTTTCGTTAGTTTTGCACACCTACAGTTATTCTTTCTTTGAGAGGGCGGATTTAACAAAATGATCACAGTTTAAATTTCCTTTCACACAGTTCCAATTTTGATTATATTTATGCCAATTAAGTTCACTTTTTTGATGTGTACCAGTTAATGTGTTGTGAAAAGACAAAACTATTTGGTTACACTGTTGATCGTTTATTGTTGTGAGCAGTACTACACCTTTCCCCATTAAGCTTTAGCCAAAACCCGCAATCCTTTAGCCAAAACCCGAAATGCTTTAGCCAAAACCCACATTCCTTTAGCCTTGACCTACATTCCTTTAGCCCAAACCCACAATCCTTTAGCCTTGACCTACATTCCTTAAGCCAAAACCCGCAATGCTTTAGCAGTCTCGTCATGCAGCATTTGATTCGTCGGTATTGGGGCTATAAAAACTCACCAA